CAGCAGGAAGAGAAGAGGCAAAAAGCAGAGCGGCTGCACCAGCAGCAGAAGCACGAGACGCAGATGAAGGACATGCTGGCCCAGTGCGAGAGCAACACGAATGAGCTCCAGCAGCTGCAGGTACCCATTCCTTGTGGCTTGGTCTCTTGGAACTTCCTGTGCACTCTTTCTTCTGCAGTCCAAGGAGCACGTTGTAAGAAGGCTGCAGAGGACTATCAGTGAAGTAGAACTGATGTCCCCATGATCTGCCTTGGGAGATTTTTGTGGCTGTGTGTAAACGTGCCCTGGAGCTCAGAGCTCTGAATGCTTCTGGCTAATGCCAGTCCTGTTTGACCACTGGTTTTACAGTCCCAGCTGCTTAATGGGTGCTCTGTTTTGTGATCTGTGTTTAGAATGAAAAATGCCACCTCTTGATTGAGCATGAAACCCAGAAGCTCAAGTCCCTGGATGAGAACCACAACCAGCACATGAAGGAGTGGCGGGACAAGCTGAGGCCACGGAAGAAGGTAGTGCCTCCTCAGTGTGAGCAGGTTGTCCTGCTTGGCTAGTTGCAGGGGACAGTGCCCCTACATACCGTACAATCTCAAATACATCTCTTCTGTGTGTTCTCTTCTGCTTAAGGCCCTGGAGGATGAGCTGAACCAGAAGAAGCGTGAGCAGGAGATGTTCTTCAAGCTGAGTGAGGAGTCAGATGGACAGACCCCAGCAACCCCAACCAAACATGCCAAGTTTGTCCCCTTCAGCTCCACAGAGAACTTGTAACACCCCACAGCTGGCAGGCCACCAGCTGATACTTGCTGTGACCTCCTGGGCTGCAGGTGGGCCACTTGGACTTGGAAAACCTCTTGGCAGCCTCTTCTCACAGCAGCACCCTCCTGTCCCCTCACCCTGTCTGGGATAAACGTGGCTCCTACACTGGGGGACACTGACTGGAAGTTTTGGTGGCTTTTCCAGGAGCTGGCTGGCTCAGCACAGCTCCAGCCTGGGAATTCAGGCAGGCCCCTTGCTGTGATTGTACTTGCACTGCTAGCTAGGTGTGTTGCCTTCACGTGAGCCTGGTGCTCACCAGGCTTGTCACCTCAGACTGAAACAATAACTGCTCCAAAAGGAAGGAACAGGTGATGGCTCCTGCCTTCTGCACAGGGGTTTTCAGCTTCTCTTTCCACTGTGGCTGCTCTTATTCCCAGTCCCCTGAAAGGCCAATCTGGGGCAGAGCAGCTTTGACAGTGCCTTATGTTAACCTCGGCCTTGTAGCACCCCAACACTTGCCTTAGATTTATTTCTATCTACTGCGGTCCCTTTCTGCTCAAAGTAGTGACAGCAATTTGGACTAATTTTTTTTGTCTTTGAGGTGGGAGGATTGTCTTCTTTTCTTTCCCCTTCCTCCCCATACTGACTATGCAGAAATGGGACCCGCTGAACGTCCTTCCAAAGATGCTTCTGCTTCTTTGTTTGCCGTGGTTGCTCACACCACATTCCCTCTGGCACTTACGCAACACTATCTTATGAGAGACTGGGCTATGGCATAATTAAGCTGTTCAGCTGGCTGCAGGGATTTCTCTCTTAAAGAAGTGGATGTGCATGTGCAGAGAGGGAGGTTGGTAATGGTGCTCAGTCCTGCAGTAACACAGTGAGGTATTGGTCACAGTTGTGTGCCTTTGTTAGGACAAGTGACGGGCAGAAGGATGTTATTGCCAGAGTTCTCATGATCCACACATGTGCTTGAGGTGTTTTTTTAAATGTTACAGATGTGTTGGCCATGTGGGTCAGCCAGCCTGGCCACTCTGCAGCCAGGGTTATGGGCTGCAAAGCATCATTTGGAAAGAACAAAGGAGTCTTGAAACAAGGGACGCAAGGGAAAAGGAAATACAAAGACAGGTCACAGTGGTTTGTTACTCTCAGCATTGCTTTCTCCACTGGTGTCACATCATTGTTATTATGTTTCTTGGATTATTCTCCTGGCACTCACCTTGGAGTCACTGCAGAGTGGCAGAGCAGCTGCAGGTCCAGCCCTCTGTCCTTTCTGCTCCGTGGCAGGGCATTTTGGCTGGGCTGCCTTCCTCCTCCTGAACGAGGCAGTGCTTGGCTGAGCTGCTAGGTAGGACCCAGAGCACACACCTGGGTGGGGGGACAGAGACCTCACTGGGCAGCACCTTCTTCTTTACACAACCAAAAGGTGTAAGGTAGGACTTCAGTTTTTCTCTCAGCTGATCTCTGAACAACATTGTTTGCTTAGGCAAGAAAAAATGTTTCTGCTTAAAAAAAAATATTGTTATTTTAAAGACTCATATTGATTTAGAGAAACACTGGCATTTCAGGAAAAGGTGGTATGTGGTGTGCTACATTTCTAGGTACCTAACTGAAGGAGTCAACCCCCAGGTCTTTAACACCTACCTATGTATAAGCTTCCTGCAAACTAGCAAGGCTACATCCACTTGGCCCTCTCAAGTTTCTTATGAATCCACACCATTAATGTCTCTATTAATAAACATGGCCTGGATAGACACCTAAGGGCTGGGACCCTTTACAAACAGACTGCATAGCAGCTTTTCAGTACAGGCCTGTCCTCCTACGAGGACTGCCCGTCCCATCTCCAAAAGCATTGCCTGTGCCTTTCAGATGACAGCACCAGGTGGGGGGGCTGATGTAAAAGTCAATGAATGCAAAGAGTTGTTTCTGAACCAGGACTATGTGGTGGTTTGAGACTTTTAATTGCACTAGAAATGTGTTAAAGCAGCCTCAGCAGTTTTGTTCCTGGTCCCATGGTAGTCAGGTTGGACATACACATAAGAAATGGTTGTTGCCACAGAAACCAGTACCTGGTGCCTGTCCTTCCTGTGTTACATGTGGCTTGCAGAAAGGTGTCCTGCAGCAATACTGTTCAGAACATGAGGAAGTCATGAGGAAGGAGACTACTCCTGGGGGCTTTTAAAGAGCTGATGTGATGCCCTCATGGTAAACCCGTTGTCCCCTTTCTCCAGACTAGCTTACTTGCAGCCTGGAGCTAGTGACATAGTTTTGCTTTTGCTAACAGAAGGTGGGAATGGTTTTGTCCCCTGCCCTTTCCCTATTCTCTGTTCCCTTTTTGGGTATGACAGAGCTCTAGTACTATGTCCCTCTCCCAGAAGAGGGCAGGGGAGCACATCTTCTGATTGTCATGTTTACAGGGTGGTTATTTCCTCCCCCCCCCTTTCAGAAGACAATGTTTTGTTGTTTGCTATTCAGAAGGAACCATGAATAAACCAAACTTGTTTTCCAGGGAAAAGGGGATGCCATTTTTTTGAAATGTGGCTTTGAACAAAAAGGGTTTTTTTAATATTTTGTAAATTGTCTTCAGTGGGGCCACTGCTATGATGTAAAGACCCTTATAATAAAGTAACAGACTGAGAAACCTGGGCATGTGTCTGATTTCCTGCCTCATCACCAGCTGTGGCCTCAGACCAGCTTTGCTTCTAAGTCTGGGTTTTGCTGACTTACAGGAAACCTCTCGAGCCACTTCTGGCATGTGAACCTTGCAAGGCTGAACTTCCAGTTCTTTAAAATACAGCTGATTGCTTCAGAAACACTTCTGCTGGGTGCTCTGCAGCTCGGGGGCTGTAACAGGTTTGCTATGAAACTCCGGTAGATCTTGGTGAGGCAGCATTTCCCTCAATGGCTTTATTGAGTGTTAAAATAGTGCTCGGGTGACCCTGCTTGGTGAAGGGGAAGTATTGCAGCCTGTCCTCTGAAGAGTGCAAAGCACTTCTGCGTGCCTTTTTCTTCCTTTTATTTATTTATTTTATTTATTTATTTATTTATTTTAAAGTAGCTTGCCTAGCTTTAACACATTTCAGATAAATCTTTGCTTTGTTGGGACAAGGAGGTCCTATGGCTGTCTTCTCCCACTCGGCCCTTGGCTGAAGAGCCCTTGGATCCTGGGAATACCCTATGAGGCAAAGGTAAAGATAACATCTTGCCCTGTCAGTGCATTTGGAGACCTCTGCTCACTCTGCTCCCCACAGCTTTGTAACCACCCACAGGGCCTGCATGGTGTTTGTTTTGTGCGTGGAGATTTTAACCTGCAGGTTTACTTATGATTTCTTTCACCCAGGTGCCCTGTGCCAAGCATCCATGGTGTGCCAGGGCAGTTTTGACACGAGGTGGTGGAACTGGTGTGGATTTCCCCTCATTTTTGGAAGGTTGCTCCAGAGCCTGCCAACTTCTACCTTGGGTTTCATGCTGGAAATGACCTTGCTACCAGAGTCCACCCTGCTTAGGTAATATTGCAGGCTGTGAGGTCAGACATGAGGTGCTGAAAGGGAGGGGGAGTTGTTACTGTAAGTGGTTGCTGCTGCAGTTTTAAATAGGCAGCATTGTGGGAAGGACAAGAGCAAAGCATGAGGGGGCCTGTCTCCTTGCTCCAAGAGATAGCAAGAAATTAAGGAGCAGAGAACACTTAATTAGCCATCTCCATCGTTAACATGTACCAGGATTGCACTGTCTCCTGGGACACACTGGTCAAAAATGGCCTCACTTAACATACTCTGGTGAAGTAGAGCATCTCATGGGAGTATTTAACTTCATCTGCATGTCCTTGTCAGTGCATGGGGGCAGCTACAACTGTGAGGATACTTGCATTGATAAATGCAAGTGGAAAGTACTGTGCATTCCAAAAATAACTGTTATCTACCATTCTGCCCTGATACAATGCTGAAAACAGAGCAAAAGTAACAATCTTTCTTAATTTTAAAAAATGGAGGTGACAGTCCTGACACATCAGTGGTGCTGCAGCAGCTGTGGCATTCTCAGCTCTCCTCATTAGCTCCTCTGTGCTGGGCCCTGAGCTCCCCAAGGCTGCCCAAAGGCTTTTGGAGCATTTGTGCTATGATGGGTACGATGAAACTCTCTGGGGGAAGAAAAAGCTGGGCAGGCAGGGACAGTGGTGGAGCTGGGGCTTGTGCCTGGCTGCCTTCCCCTTGTGGCTGCATCTGCTCTCCCTCCCTGGCTGCAGGAGAGCCCGAGGTGAGCGCTGCTGGGGGCACTGCCAAAAGTCATCTGCAACCCGTTAAGGCAAACGCTGCTGCACGTTCTCCCGCTGCACTGGCTCCTGGTTTAGTTCTCCAAATGCCAAACTTCCCAGGGCTGGAGCCAACCCACTCCAGAGGCTGGTGGCTCTGCCTCGCTGCTGGGGCTGGTTGTTACCCCTCTGGCAGACGGGATGGGGCTGGGTGGCAGGGACAGGTCGCCCTGGCATCCCACCCGCCCTCACAGGAACCCACCGGGACTCCCTTGGAGCGGGTTTTCAGGCTTGCAAGGGCTGCAGAGGCGATGTTTGCTCTTCTGTCTCTCGTTCACTAGAGGGCTCGCACAGCGAAGCACCGGCCCTGGGCTCCGGCACCAGCGCGGAGCCCGAGCTGAGCTGGTCCCTGGTGCCGAGATGTTTGTTCACTCCTTTCCCGCAGCCGCCCTTCGCTAAGGGACACTTTTCACCAGCGCTCTGCTTCTCCTCAGTGCTTCGGTGCTTTGTGTCCCCCTCCAGCTTTGTCCCTCAGGAGGTCCCCAGGGCTCCCCACCAGCACACGGGTGCCAGGACTGACACCCCCTCTTTGAAATCTCAGCATCTCCCCCGCGGGGCTGCCTCTCCCTGCTGCCAGGCTGACTGCCACCCGTGTCATCCACACCACACGGCTAAAACCAGCCAGACTGCCATCGAAGCAGGAGAAAACTGTTCCCAGTTGGTGGCTAAGGATCAGTGCCATCCAGCCCCGGGAATGTGGTGGGTAACACTGCTCTGCAGCTGCATGGATTTGCCCTTTGTTGTAGCAGGCACATCATTTTTGACCAGTCCTTGTGAAGATGGATGCATTTGTCCTGTACACAGAGGAGGACTGGGAACATTCAGACACCTGGCACACATTCCTGACTCTTAAATTAATAAGCAAGCAGCCAGAGTGGACTCTCCATGCCAGAATGACTGCAGGTAGTGTTTCCCTGCAAGTCAGGGCTGAGGATGGGGCAGTGATTTTCATTCTTTGACAGACTGCAGGGATGGTCCAGCTGTGCCCAAACAGCTGGAGCCTGCTTACAAGGGGAAACCCAAACATCTGAGTTGATGGCTGGCTTTTTAGAATCCATTTTCCCTCTCGCTTTAAATTGCTTGGCTGATCCTGACAGAGAGAAGGGAGAGTGCACATGGATCAAGGAGATCTTGACTCTTAGTAGGTGGCAAGCTTTCCTATGTAGTTATTTTGTTTGGCTCAGCAATATTTTAACCTTTGGTTAGGGCAGCAGGAGATGACTTGTTTATTCCAAAACTCCCCTCAGTTGCACCTGTAACCTTGTACCATCAAACCTCATCGTAGGAAGTGCTGCTGCCAGATCTCTGCTGCTCCTGCAGCTGCACCACCAGAGGTGTGGACCAAACATGGGACTCCCAGGTCAATCACAAACCCCTCATTTGGGCTCCCTTAGCAAATGTTTGGCAATTTCCTTCATCCATTACCAAGGCACAGTAAGGTGCAAGCCAGGTTGTACAGCTCCACAGCTGGCTTCCCTGCCTGCCTTCCCTGGGAGGCCATCAGGTCAGTGTACAAAGCCACGCTCTACTTGTCTCAACAGCTCTCATCAGACTTGTTAATTAAACATGGGAGCCATTTAGCAGGGTTAGCTTCGATTATCTCCAGCCTCTGCTTTTTGCTGGGTGCTCATAAGCTGCCAGGCAGCAGACAGTGCCTGGTGCTGCCAGGGTCCAGGAGCGATGGAGTCACTTCAGCAGGTGAGGGTGCTGGGGAAGTGATGTCGATGCTTAAGCGCTTCCACCTCATTATGTGCAGTCTTTTGGCTCTCTGCCAGCATTTGTAGGCCTGGAGTGGGTTTGCACTGGAAGACATGGATAAAATAACCCTCTGTATGTAGCAAGCTGGCTGTCTGATACATGATTTATACCAGATAGAGAGGAACAGCCTGACAGCCTGGCAGCAAATGGCAGTCATGGGCTGCATCCAGGACATTACAGAAAGGAGCTGGAAGGGTGAAGGCAGGAAACCAGGGTTTGGCCCCTGGAGCAGGTCAGTTCAAGGTATTGGGAGAGCTCATTCATATATTCGCCTTCTGTTTTCCATGCCATACATGTAGGGACCTGGTGGCACAGGCAAATTGATTTATCAGCAGGGGAATGCCCAAAGGTCTCGTGTACCCCTGAGAAGGAGAGGTGGGCACAAAGCTTCCCCAAGCAAAGCACTGTCTGTGTCCCTCTGGGCTGCTTCAAGCTTGGCAGTGAGATGTCCTTCATGGTGTCACAGTGTGGTGTTCATTCTGTCTCTTGTGGGTTTCCAGCAGTGACGGTAGATCCAGGATTAAAGGAAAGGGCATGAAGGTTGCTGATGAAGGTGCAGGGCAGCACAGAGCCCTGCAGTGGCTGGGGATGGCCCTGCAGAGTGGGAGTGCAGGGACTGGGCATTGTGGCTGTGAAAATGGCAAAACTTGTGTCCCCCCACCAAATCCACCATCTGCCTCCATACTAAATTGACAGTTGGGAGTAAAGATTCCATTCCCTCAAGTCTGGGGCCACTATGAGATGACAGAAACATGCGCAGTGATGAGGGTCTTTTCAGAGCCATCTCACAGACTTCTTTCTTCTCACAAGCTGCTGCTGGTCCTCACTCTGCTGGCCATCAGAACAGCTCCTCCACCCTGCCGGCGTGCTGTGGGACAGGGGTGCTGCAGCTGGTGGCACATGGGACTCTAGCTGTTCATAGGTTACTTGCCCAGCACCCCTGCTGTCCTACCCCATCTCCCTGAGCTGCAGCTATCACTGCTTTTAAAGCTAGACCAAATAACTCTGACAAGAAAACACAGTTCAGCCTCTTCATGGATGCTGTACTTGAAGGTCAAAATGCTCTCTGAATCGCATGTTCTTGATTTGCTCTTCCCAGGTGGGTTTTTAAATTAACTTTTTCCCTGCAGACTGATCGTAGGGTTCATGGGTAGTGAGTCCAAGGTGTCTTGATGGTGGGCTTTGTGTTAATGTACAGATTGACTGGGCAGCAAGATGATCAATCTGGCTAAGTTGCTTTTGGTGCATGAGGGATGTAGGGACAGTCTGTGCACTCCATTAAAACCAAACAGACTGCATCAGAGCAGCTCTGCATACAGGTGACCAGAGTCCCAAGCACAGTCTCCTCCTCAGGTGCCTGGCAGTCCCTCAGTCTCTGCTAGGTGGAACAAACCAGAACCCAAAGCAAGAGAGACAACTGCAGCCATAGCATTTGTTGCCTCACTTAGTTTCCTTCACCTTGCGATTTATCATCTACTGCATTTTGTTTAGTGTGTTTCTGTGTTTCTTTTTGTAGTTCACATATCCAGTTACATGCTTCTGTTATGCCTGTGATCCCCTTGCCTGGCCTTTCAGTCCTCAGCTCTTCAGGTTACATCCCTCCCTGTGTTGCACAGTTGCAGTGCCCTCAGCTGCTCTCTACCTTGGTTTCTCCTTTCAGGTTGTGAAGATCAATTATTGTTTCATTCCTCTCTTAATCCACATTCTCCAGTGGTGCATATCTCCTCAATGTACATTTCTCTTACCAACATGATGCACAGCTGCTTTGGATGTTTTTCTGACCACCCTTTGGAAGATTCATCCATTTTTCAGGGCTTTTAAAACCAGTAACATTCTATTTGCCCAATCCTGAGCACTCCACACAAGGTCAAAAGCTGCAGTTCTGCTGCCTGTTGTTGTTTTCCCAGGCTTTGACCCTTGATTAGCACTTCCAGGTCCAGCTCTATTGTCCCTCACCAATGTCAGGGCTTTCCTGGTGGGACAAGAAAGGGAGGGCTCTCAGGACCTCTCCTTGGCCTCTTACCTTCAACACAGGTCTGTCCAAGGAGTGAGAACAGGGCCAAGGCCAGGAGGGGAGTGATGTGCAGCTGGTTCACAAGTAAACCAGTCTCTGTGGTGGCATGACAGCAGGTCTCAGGGAGGTCACTGGTAACATGGTATCCCTTTCAGACAACCCAGCATCCTTCCTGTAGCCATTTTTGCAGGGGCACAATGGTCTTGGGCTTAGCTGAGGGGGAGAATGATGAAGATGAGCCCTTTGGGAGGGCAAGGGCAGCAATAAAGCCCTGGCAACCTGCCTGAGCCTCCATAGTTCTCTGGAGTGGTCATAACAAAGTTAACAGTATAAAAAGGAGCCACATGTAAGGAGCTGTTAAGGAGTGAGATGAGTTGTTTATGATTAAATTAAATTCATATGAAAACTAATGACCTGCCAGTGTGAGCCTTGAGTAACTTTATAATGTAATTAAAAGCCCAATGGGGAAGAGAGCTGTGGTTTCACCACGTGCTGAGGAGCTGCTGGGGAGACGGAGGTCGCGGGTGGCACTGATGGAGAGGAGTGCCCAGGCTCTGCCTTGTCTCCTCTGCTGCCCCAGGGGCAGGGCTGGGCACAGAGCCGGGCACGGGGGCTGGGCTGCCAGAGCTGAGGGGCTGCCAGGGCTGAGGGGCTCCCAGAGCTGAGGGGCTCCCAGGGCTGAGGGGCTGCCAGGGCTGAGGGGCTGCCAGGGCTGAGGGGCTGCCAGGGCTGGGCGGCTGCCAGGGCTGAGGGGCTGCCAGGGCTGAGGGGCTGCCAGGGCTGGGCGGGTTGTCCTGGGTGAGGCAGCTCTGGTGACCTGACCACACCAACAACCCACGGAGCCGCCTCTTCCTAATAAATTAATTCCTCAGGTCCTTCAGGGGTACAGCTGTCAGTAACCGGGTCAGCCTGGGGGGCTGCTGTTCCGAGACAAGCGCAGGGAGAAGGCTCAGACCCTGGTGACGGAGCCCACGCACGGGCTCCCGAGCCGAGCCAGACACGCAAGCCCCGCACAGCCTCCCCGCCCA